AGCAAACAAGCTGTGATGCCGAGCATTGAACAGTCTCCCTGGTCATATCTGAGCCAGCTCTCACAGCAAAACGTCCCCCCCATTACTAGGCTGCCGTCCGTAACTCCGAACAGCCTTGAGTATGGGGCAAGTAGGGGGTACCGCGAGATCCCCACGAGATCCCCAAGAGCGGCGGTCATACCACGAAATCCTGAAGCAGAAAACTCTATTAGCTTATTGCTGCCCCAACACAGCAACGATGTCCAGGCTTCCGCCCGAAACTCCGAGCGACCACGCCCTGTGAATGAAAATGGATGGTTCACCTCCCGCATCTCGATGCCGACTTTGTACCCTCTGAAAGTGCATGCCCAAGCTGACACTGTGCTGCGGCTCGGAATGGTGGGGTAGGCTGGTTGGTCACACCTGCCCGGGGATTGGGATCAGGTTAGATCGTCACCCACACCAACAGGCTCCAGTGTCACTGCCGAACCAGCCTTCCTCTTCGGTATCGGCGGGAAGGTCGCGTGCTCTTAGTCCCGTCGATCGTCCAACGTCGACATCATCTTCAACATGGCGTTCATAGCCTCAATATCCATTTCCCCAAACTCCCTATCGGCGTCTGTTTGAACAGCATCACCCAGTATTCCAGTTGATTTGGAGACTATCGGAAGCAACTCCAACTCTTCAGTCCAAGCGACGTGGGCAGATCCATCCTCCGTTCCTAAAACGATGCTTCTGACAAACGCCAAAGCTTCCTCGTGGCCGCCCCGCAGCCCGTCGACCCCATGCATCCCTGTGAGGCACACCGGATCTGTCGGTAAGCATTAACTGATACCCCAACCTCCTATGGCCGTCTGGAGACCGTGCTTTGCGTTGGCAAGGTCGCACACAGTATCTATCGCGAGAGCCAAGGTACAAAGGTCAAGGTACAAATGCCAAGAAGCTCAGCGGCCAGTTCGGGAACCTGCTGGGCAGGACAGCTAAATAGTAGCCCTGTACGTCGGGGCGTCTGGGCAAGAATCTGGATCGAACGCTCGTCTCTCCTCTCTCTCTCTCTCTCTCTCTCCGCTGCCGCTGCTCTCCGCTGGATCTGCATCTGTCTTTTGTCCACGGACACTCGTGTCGATTCGCAAGTCGTACCTGAAGCTTCTTGTGCGCTTTTGTCTTCTCGTGGCCTTCGACAGCGTGGCATCGACCCGAACCCTCGTAGCAGCACATCATCGACAAGAGCTTGGTCATTTCGATTCCGGCATACTCAAACTGATAGCACCAGCGCCCTTCCAGCCTTCCACCCTATAATAGGTCCCAACATGGGCATCGGTGCAGCTGCCGAACCCTTGGTGGTCGTCACTCTTCTCTTTGGAGGAGCGTGGTTCAACCGTAGCATTGGCCGCGATGACGCCTACGATATCCAAGGGTGGACGGACAGGACAGTTGGACAGAGCGAGATCAAAAAGTCGGACGACCATGGCAGCCCCCGCCAATCTGGTAGCATGACACCAAAGTCCGAAGACTCGCTCCTCTCCAGTTCCCCCACTCTAGGCCTGCCAGAAGAGCCCTTGCGCCGCGTCAGGAAGATCAAGTTTCTGAAGTACGAGCGCCGCATCACTACTCCCAACACCAGGATACACAAGAATCGTCTCCTCAGCCGGCTGCTACGAAAGTTTCCCTTCCTTGTGGAGGCCTGGTACTGGGCGCTCATCTACTGGGTAAGCTCTAGCTGCAAGTCGACGGCGGCTCTCAAAGAAGCTGATCAGTGACCTTCAGGTGTACCAAGTCGGCCGCGCCATTACTGCGCTCACTCTTGTGGAAGGGACTGTTCACGTCGCTCGCAGACACGCCCTACAGGTTATTCATGTCGAGCAAAGCCTGCACATCTTCATCGAGATTCCTATCCAGAAGTTCTTCCTCCAGTACCCTACCCTGATGCATTGGATCAACCGTATATACTCCTTCATCCATATTCCGGGCACCATCCTTTTCCTCGTTGTGCTGTTCTACCTCACCACCACTCGCCGTCGCCGCGCCATCTCCTCCAAGAGAAACGGCAATGACGCCCCCGTCTTGAGCTCCGCCGGCCCTGCTCTGTACGAGGCCCGCCGCCGCACCATGGCTACCTGCAACCTGCTCGCCTTTGTCGTCTTCACCCTCTGGCCTTGCATGCCACCACGTCTACTCAGCGACCCTACGTACGATGGCCCAGATGCTGAGGAGTCCAAGAGCTTCGGATTCGTCGACACAGTTCACAGCAGCACAGGCGAGAGCAGCGTCTGGACAACCAACAAATTCTGCAATCAATATGGTGCGTCACCTCTGTCGCCCCGATCATGAACATCATAAGCCCTCTTCACTATCACGTGCCTGTAGCATGAGTCGAAGAAAAGAGCTAACATTCAAAACCCAGCCGCTATGCCATCCCTCCACTTTGGCTACTCACTCCTCATCGGACTCACGATTGCCACACTTCCAATAGCCAACCTGCGCACCCGCTCATGGAAGCGCATCGCCATCATGGCACTTGGCATGTCGTACCCTGCGCTCATCCTGACAGCGATTGTCGCCACTGCAAATCACTTTGTGCTCGATGCCGTGGCTGGTGCGGTCGTCTGCGGCATTGCATGGCACGCGAACGGCATCTTATTGAATCTTTTGCCGCTCGAAGACTACTTCCTCTCAGCGCTACGGATGCACAAACCCATCAGCTGGACGGACCCCGAAGTGTCAGTCAACGTTGGGAGTTGGAATCCTGGCTCTGTCGTTGAACAGGTATAAACTGCTTTGCTACGAAATTTCGAAGATACATCCAGCCAGCGTCCACAGCAATTGCTTGGAGGCGTTGCTGATTTTCGCTTTGAACTCTCTCCTCTCGGTCCTCATCTCTTACTCCCTAGATTCTACAACAAGAAGGCTTAGCGAGAATACCCCAGTTCCAGCATAAGGAGGAAGTTATTGTTTAATGCAGCTGACGCAACTTGTTGCTTGGCGTTTCGTTACCGAATTCAATTCTTTTCGCAGGTTCGCAGGCATCGTACACTCTTCGAAACATCTATTTACAGGACCAAAGCCCATGATACATTGGGGAATCCTTCTGCTGCACAACCAATTCTCATTTAAGCCGCTTCAAGCCCGTCGTTGATCTCCTGCAGGTGTGTCCAGCCGCATCCACGTTGCATAGTCCGGCGGGCCTGAGAGAGTCGGCGTCGGCAAGCTCGGCGCATGATTTGGCGAGTGCCAGATATCCATGACATCAGATTGCTCGCAGCCGCGCGAAGGAGGCGGGTGCAGCTTGTTATGGAGCCGAGAAACAGAGGGCGATCTTGCTGCACTCACGACGATTATCTCGCAACTAGTAGGGTGATTACAGCTCATAACGAGTGAAAGGTAACATGAAGACGGCCAGGTCTTTAAGTAACAGGTCGCTGTGGGCGGTCACGCTGGGTGCCGTACAGCCGAAGAATCAAAGAACTGCGACGTATATGTAGTCTTTGAGGCTAGGTCGCTTCAACATATGTACTGCAGATCAAACTGCGGCGAATCGGTTGAAGGGCACCGTCGCGAGGGTGACAAGGGGGTCACTGTTTGGTCCGACGGCCGAGGACGGAGAAATTGGCCGCACAGAATCCTCCACGTGAGGGAAATCAAGCCGAAATACCCTCATCGACGAGAAGAAATGGCCCCTGTCACCTTCCCCATACCATACCCCAGATCTTGTCCCGCTCCAATCCCCCGCACCGCCAAGTTGGACATCGCGGGTGTCGATCTGCTCGGTTCCCATTAGCCCGTGGAGCGACGTGATCCCAAAATGGAGGTCTGCTCCCCGTCGGCGATATTGCCCCCCCGCACTTGATGAACGTTATAATTTGAGAATCTGCCAGTGGGATAGCATGATGGGTTTTATTTTTCTCATTCGGAGAAGCTAGCACAGCCTTTTCTGATCTGAAGACGGCTTCCAATCGAGCCTACGGTACCAGTCAAGATGCGTCTCGCCGGATTGAAATCGGCCGCTCTCTTCGCCGGAGCTGCCACGGCACTGAAAGCCGCCGAAAATGCGACTCACTACACGCTGCAAAATGAGAGGCTGTACGTGGCTGTTGGCAAAAGCAACGGCCAGGTTGTCGACTTGAGCCTGGACAATGTCGACCTTCTGGGACCTGTCAGCGGCAACTCCGGTAAAGGTCCGTATCTCGACTGTTCCTGCATCCCCACAGGTTTCTGGACGCCCGGCGGCACCGCCAAGTACCAGCTCGTCGAAGGTGTCGACTCGACGGGCACCCCCTACGGTGGCATCATTATGGGCGACACGTACGCTCCGACCAACCAGTCACTGTACCAGTACTGGTTCCTGCGCGGCGAGGAGACGGGCCTCCATGTCTTCTCTCGCGTCACCTACTTCAACGAAACGACGCCCTTCCTGCGCGGTCTCGGAGAGCTGCGCACCCTCTTCAGGCCCAATACGAACCTGTGGACCCATCTAGTTGGCAGCGAGGACAATTGGGCTCCCAAAGTGTCGGCCGCTGGGAATGCGGCCGGTGTCACGGTCCAGGACGCGACCACCTACGTCGGCAACACGCCTAATGATCCTTATGCCTCGCAGTATTCGGATTACTTTACCAAGTACACATTTGCCGAACTCTGGCGCAACCATGACGTTCACGGACAGTACGCCGACGGCAGCACATCGCCCGATGGCAACACGTACGGTGCTTGGCTCGTTCACAACACACGTGAGACGTACTATGGTGGTCCGCTACACTCGTGAGTGACGTCCTCGATTGTCTTCCCTGAATCACACTCTAGTTTCTTGGTGATAGCCTTTTTGACCATGTCTGACCTGTTACAGTGACCTCGTCGTTGACGGAATCGTCTACAACTACATGGTCTCCGGCCACCACGGCGCTCCCGTGCCTAACATCACGCACGGCTTCGACCGCACGTTTGGGCCGCAGTTCTACTACTTCAACCAGGGTGGCCCGAAGACTTCGCTTCAAGACCTGAGGCAAGATGCCGCACAATACGCCGATCCCGAGTGGAATGCCGAGTTCTACGACAGCATTGCCAAGCATGTGCCCAACTACGTACCAACATCGCAGCGCACTACTTTTACGGCCAACATCAAGCTGCCGCGTGGTGCCAAGCGAGTCATTGCCGTTCTGTCCGAGAACAAGCAGGACTTCCAGCTCAACGTGTTCGACACCAAGTCCCTCCAGTACTGGGCCGAGGTCGGATGCAATGGCAAGATCAGGATTCCCCGCGTCAAGGAGGGCACTTACCGACTGACCGTCTACGCGGACGGCGTGTTTGGCTGGTTCATCCAAGACGACGTCAAGGTCTCGTCGACCGAGCCGCACGGTCTCGGCGGCGGCAGCGGTGCTCTCGAGTGGAAGGAAGAGTCCGCAGGCAAGGAGATCTGGCGCATCGGCAAGCCCGACAAGTCGGCGGGCGAGTACCGCCACGGCTACGCCCTGGACACGTCAAAGCCGCTGCAGCCGGAGCAGTACCGCATCTACTGGGCGCAGTGGGACTTCCCGACCGACTTCCCCGAAGGCGTCAACTACAAGGTCGGCGAGAGCAAGGCCGACGTAGACTTCAACTACATCCACTGGAGCGTCTTCGGCGGCCGCGGCAACTCGGTGCGCCCGGAGCAGGTCCGCGACAAGATCAACAACTGGACCGTCGAGTTTGACCTCGACCGCGACCAGCTGCAGAGCGCCAAAACAGCGACGCTGACGGTGCAGCTCGCCGGCGCCAAGACGGCCAACGGCAACAACAAGTGGGGCGGCATCCTGCCGGGCGAGAAGTACAGTAACCTGCCGTACACTGTCGCGCTCAACGGCGTCGAGGAGGAGACCTGGGTCATCCCGTACTGGCGGTCCGGGTCGTGCGGCGTGCGCAGCGCCGTCGTCTGCCAGAACATTGAGTACAAGTTCCGCTTCTCGGCTGCGAATCTCGAGGAGGGCGCCAACAAGTTCATCCTCAGCCTGCCGTACAACGCCACGAATACCGAGGGGGCGTTGCTCGTCAACGCGCTGTATGTGCAGTATGATGCACTGCGGTTCGAGCTCGAGTAGGCTGTCTGTCATGCCAGCAGTGTTTGGCATTTTTGTTTTGTGGTACATAAGAGGCCATTGTTACATGAAGGGTAATAACTAAAAATGAATGGAAATATCGTCCTTTGACAGATTTGGATGCTGTTGATCGAAATGCTCCTCTTTTGGTAGTTGTTGCTCCACCGTTGAAGAGGTAGGAATAAGCACCCGTAACCTGGTGTACATTGACAAGAACGCCCTGAAAAAGTATGTTGCTTCGCCATCGAAATCGTCATGAGCTTCCAACCATCTGCGTCATTCTTCAATTACAGCAACGCTGACCGACAAGCAAAGTGTGGCACCAACACGCTGGAGCTGAACACGTATGACAGCTTGTCTATGTAATCAACCTCCCGATCCTCATCGGAGGCGAGATCATCTTGCGTCCACAAAGCGTGCAGCAGCCATCGCACGGACCGTAGGTCTCTATCGCGTCCGCGATCGTTGGCCGCCCCGAGCAGATCCAGAACACGAACCCTCGCCTCGTCAGTGCGAGCTTCGCTGCCGAGGATGAGGAGTGGCAGTGGCCTTTCGCAGCTGCTGATGAGGCTCGTCATGCGCAGTCCTCGTTCTACCAGCGAAGGGATGTCTGATTCTGGTACGACAGACTCGCCCGTCACGCGACTCATGTAGATGATGGTCGATATTCGGTATGCCTCCGCTTTAGCTGCTCGTACCTTCGCCACAGCATCTCCCGTCATCTGATCTCCTGAGGTCCGCATCTTTCGCACCTGGTGTCCCAGTTCTCTCACGCGTGTCCTGTACTGGGTTGTCCGGGCTGCTCTGTCGTGTCGCGGCACTAACTCGGCTACGACGCTTGATAGCACATTCAAAGGTTCGAACATGATGTTGTGTCTGAGGCCTTCTTTCATGTAATGGGCACTGGTATCGAGGAGTCTGTCATCCACTGTTGTCCAAGGGTTGTGCGTCGGTTTTGTGTACTCCGCCGCATCGTCCTTCGCCTCCTGTCTGGGCGCTCTCCAGTGGCGCAGGCTGAAGCGAGCGAGCAGACCATGGTAGTAGACCCACTCTAATATTGAGCTGCCATCGGTGATGGAACAGAAAGCAGCCGTGGAATGACTGCGGACAATGCTCGTGGCGCCTCGGAGGTAGAAGAGCCATTGATTGGTGGTTTCCGCAGTCTGTTGTGTCTAGATTTGAAGTCTGTACGTCAGTCAATCTTCCGAAGAACTATGCATAACCATGCGGCTCAGCCTGAGAACGTTTGATCCTTCATCACTCAAAGGCGGGTTTGGGGACGCGAAGTATTGAACCAACCTCGAAGACGCTGAGCACCATACTGGCTGCTACGTGCTGGACTGCGATCTTCACATCGGTCGCCTGACTGACGGATTTACTGAGGGCCTGTAGAGCCGACAACTTCATTTCCTCCGCCCTTAAACCGTGGCCGTGGCGATAAAGAGCAGAAAGGGCCAGCAGTGCTCGCTGCAGGGCTGAAGTAGATGACGAGCCATCTGACAGCGCGATTCTTTGGAGTGCGAGGCCCAGCGGCTGCGCGCTGAAGGTTACCATCTTTTCGGAAAGGCAATGTTGGTCTGCGCCATGTCAGCATTTATGAAAACATCTAACGACCAAACCGAAAACCACAACCAGAGTCAAGTTACTGACAGTAGTACAGGAGATCCATCTCCGGCGCGGTCAACCCGGAGGAAGACCATGACAGTGGGTATTGGGGGCTCGGCGTAATGGACCTCTGTCGTGATTTGAGGGATGCACATAATCGCATGTCCCATGAAGAGACATTTATCATGTGAAAAGGCCCTGGAGATTTATGGTTCTCCTTGCTGCCTCCCATGGAGTGAGTGCTTCTGCTCACGACGAGGCGCTTCTTGTTGCCGTCTTTCGGCCAAGACAACCGAATCCCGTAGCCTTGACATTTTCTATTCGACCGAATGCAGTTGCTGCATTGTGGAAAAACACGGTCACAGCTGATTTTGCGCTCTACACGGGTGAGTTCTACTGCGTTCAACAGGCCCCAGCCTGCCACGCAGAGGGGCCATAACAGGACATGGTATCCGTACCTATGCAGGTTCCGCACCGCTTCTTGGAGGAAATCCCGGCGCTGTCAGATTCGAGATGATGTTTCGGCTTCATAGCGACGGACGACGACGTCACTTGCTCGGTAAAATCCATATAATGTCGTGTAGCGAGCGGAAAATCATGGTGGTTCGCAAAAAGATGCCTGTTATAACTTGCTTGTCTCAACGTACGATAGAGGGGTTGATTTCTAAGCACATGGTGGTGATGCCTCCAAGCTGACGGTCCCACGCTGACCCCTGCACCACAGCGGTCATGCTAGCGGGCCAAGGAATAGCGCCTCAAGACCGCATTGGGTGCTTAGACGTTGTGCAAGATAGGTGCTGGCAACTTTTTGCGAAGCGAATGGACCAGTCATGAGCACTACAGCAAAACTGTGACGGGAGACGCCAAATACCGCGACGAGAATTGTCTGGTGGCACCATTGTTGCGAACTTGAAAACACGTGCCGGTCAGATTGATCGGTCAAAATGCCTTGTGAAGGCACGCAAAGTCCGCAGCAAGTTTTTGCGATTCTGCGATCTCACAAACAGAACATTACCAAGCAGCTTCGATTTCAAACCGTCGCCGTGCTCGCCGAAGCTGGTGAACACGTCACGATGTTCAATTGTGTATATAAAGTCGGTGCCTAGGTAGCCAAGTGCTGAAGTTCCGTCTCTATCCTGTATCAAATCGTCTCATGCCGAATAGTTCCCTCACAGGTACAAGCCGACTTCAAGATTGAAAGAAAGAGTTTCTACCGTGAAACAGATAAAAACACAACAATGCCTTCTTATCTCATCACTGGCGTCAACCGCGGTATCGGTGTAAGGCTGCCATCATCAGCGAGTTTCGGCCGTGAAGCTTCAAGAACTAACTCTGTTGTTTAGTGGGGTTTCTTGCAGCACCTCTCTGCTGATACCAACAACACCGTCATTGGCACAGTTCGCAACAAGGCTGCTACAGAGAAGCGAGTCGCCGAAGAGCTTGATGGCAGAGCCAACATCCACATCCTAGAGGTTGAGCTGACTGATTACGAAAGCATCAAGGTGAGTCTCTGTTGCGGGCGACATGCAAATGGTGACTCGGGAAGCGGCTAACACCTTCAGGCTTCCGTTGGAGAGGTCACCAAGTTGACGGGTGGCAAACTGGACTATCTCATTGCCAACGCTGGGTTTATCTCAGATTGGTCATCCGTATTCTCGCTTGGCAAGCTGTAAGTACCATCCCCTGCCCATGTGCTTTTCGAAGAACTTGTACATCATGGCCGGGCAACGGCATGGCTGATGATATCTGTCAGTGGCCAGAGCCCCAAGGAGCTAGAGGACGACCTCATCTACAGCTTCAAGGTGAATGCTGTGGGACCTGTTCATCTTTTCAACCTCTATCTGCCCCTGGTCTTGAAGGGAGATGCCAAGAAGGTCATTGCAATTACTTCGGGCATGGCTGATCTGGACTTGATCAACGACTATCGGATCGACGTGGCTGGTCCTTATTCCATCAGCAAAGGCGCTCTAAACGTGGCGGTTTCCAAATTTCACGCGCAGTATGCCGATCAGGGCGTTTTGTTCATGGGAATATGCCCTGGCACAGTCGAGACTGGCCATTATGACGATTGTAAGTCATGGTACCAATATGCTTCAGTAAGTACTAACGGCCGTCAAGTGAGCGAAGAGGCACAGGATGGCGCCATGAAGTTGACAGAAAAGTTCAACAAGTACGCACCTGGCACTAAGCCCAAGACTCCGGAGGCAGCTGTCGTGAAGGTCTTGGAAGTGGTATACGGATCGAGCCTCGAGAATGGGCGTGGTGGAGCCTACATCTCTCACCTGGGTACCAAAAGATGGCTCTGAAGGGCTGTGAAGCTCTTTCTACGCTCCGGTCCCCACGATAAGACAGTCACTGGGAGACTTGACCCAGTGCCCTGCGAACCTCTTCGGTCTTGTCGTTCCTGCTGGCTGTTGTCTCTGCCTGTACTTCGGGATAATTCTTGTTGCGAGCAAAGTCTTCCGGGCCGAAGCCTTCGGTTACGAGGGATTCCGTAGTTATGAGAATACTCATGGCGTGCAGCACCCGTGACACCAGACCGACGTCAGATGTTCAATGTCTTGTGGCGTGTCAATCGGTGCCGATCCGTCGGCACGCTTTTCAAGACATGAAGATATGTAACAAATTCTGAATAATCGCCGCCACATGGTCTGATCAGCCAGAAAACAAGCCGCAGGGAGTTGTCAAAGCGAGTTAGAGTTGGCGCCGTGCTGGAGGTGCCTCAAAGGGGCTGTCCACAAAATGCGGGCCAAAAGTGGGTAGAAAGACGTAACAACAACTGCTGAATTTTCGCCGGCCAGCCAGATTTCGACGGAGATTCCAAAACGAGTTAAGCTTTTTCAATGTGAATGGTGTCATGAAAACTCGTCCGCATGGTATGTGTGTCACGTCGGGTCAGCCAGGGCGGAACGGACCGCAGGTGAGTCAGTCCCTGGCAGACGGAGTGCATCATGGTTTTCTTAAAACATCCTTCCACGCACAAATGCCGAAGAGCATCTTGAAAACGAATCCGGGGCCCCTCAATTTGCACCTTACTTGCATGCCGAAGCTCCACCACCTCGAACGATACTACTCACTTCTTGATTGAGCTTGTAACCATTGTTGAAACTGAAGTCATCATGGGTAAGGACGAAGAGGCGACGGGAGCCCCAGCCGACCCCGTAGACCAGGGCGAGCTTGGCTCTCATCAAAGCTCAAAGGGTGCCAACAACGACGCACCCCCGCCACCGTTTCCCGAAAACGTGGGAGGTCTCGTCGAGAAAGACGAAGGCGAGCTCATCGACTTCAAGACCCTGCACTGGTTGTGAGTTCACGTCTACTATCCAATGTACACAACGCCATGGCATCCTAACATCAGCACAGACAAGGAGGCATTGTGTTGGTCGCCGAAACGGTTTCCTTGGGCATCCTGTCGCTTCCGTCTGTGCTCGCTACTGTTGGACTCGTCCCTGGAATCATTTTGATCTGCACGGTCAGCGCGCTGGCTACATACTCCGGCTTGCTTCTAGCCGAGTTCCGAAAACAGTATCCCTTTGTGCAAAACTTTGGCGATGCTGTTGAACTTATTGGAAAACCCATCGGGATGGGCTCCGTCTTTCGCGAGGTGTTCGGGTGGGCTCAGACTATCCTGCAGATCTTCCTCATTGGAGGCCACATCCTCATGTGGACGATATGCATGAACACCCTCACCAATGGCACGACCTGCACTGTCGTTTGGGCGGCGGTCGGCATGCTTGTCTTCTGGGTATTCAATGTGCCGAGGACGTTGAAATGGACAAGCTGGATGTCAGCTGCATGTAAGTTACGCCTTCAATGGGGGCTTCTACTTTCGATACCTTGGCTTACTCGTTTACCCTGAAGCTTGCATATCCATCATCGTAGCTGTATTCATCACAGTCATTGCTGTTGCCATTGAGAAGCCGATTGGCAATGGGCCCATTGACGTCTTCAAGTCTCTCGGTTTCTCGCCAGCATTCCTTGCAGTCACCAATATCGCAGGCGCATTTTGTAAGCCATCTTGACACACCACAAGCAGTGTACCTTCGACTAACCAGCTCCCTGACAGCGAGTCACTCCATCTTCTTCAGCGTCATTGCTGAATTCAAGAACCCCGATGACTGGCCCAAGGCACTGGCGTTCCTTCAAATCACAGATACGACGCTCTACATCATCGCAGCTGTCGTCATTTACGTCTATGTCGGGCCAGACGTTCCATCTCCAGCATTGTCTGCGGCTGGCAGTGCTACAGTTCGCAAGGCTATATGGGGCGTCGCGATTCCCACCATCGCAATTGCCGCTGTCATTTACGCCCACGTCGCATCACAGTACATCTTCACGCGCATCTTCGGGAACACGAAGCATGTCGTGCGCAGGACACGCCTATCCACGATATGGTGGCTTCTCATCACCCTGGGTGTCTGGGGCCTCGGCATGGTCATTGCCGAGTCAATCCCGATCTTTAATAACCTGCTGGGACTTGTGTCTGCTGCCTTTGCCAGTTGGTTCTCGTTTGGCTTGCCAGGTATCTTTTGGCTCTGGATGCACTACGGCAATTGGTTCACAAACTTGAAACAGTGCTGTCGCTTCGCCGCGACATCTCTTCTGCTGGTGGTAGGCATTGTTCTGTGCGTCCTCGGACTTTGGGTTTCGATTGAGTCCATCGCCAATGGTGGCGCTGGCTCTAAGCCTTGGACTTGCGAAAGTAACGCTGTATAAAAAGGTCAAATAGGACCAACTTGCGCCGTCAACAGCTGTCTGTACATCAAATGACACGATACCACGCAGATTCGTCGGCGCATGTTTATCGGTCATATCATCTCACACAACATGTATCAATTTGAAATGACGGGCAGTCAAAGGAGACTCACGTCGATGGATTCGGCCCAGGTATGCGACACTTAGCCCGGTTCGCCGCGATGTATTCCCCGTTCATCTCGGACGAGTATGACCAGCGCTGTGGGCTCCGGGTTCGGCTTGAAAAGATTCAACTACCGCCGACCCATGTCCAAACAGTGGCGAAGCGCTTGCCCCATCTCGGGCGCAAAGCCGTGGCGTGATACGCTGGCTGCCGTTCTTCTGATAGCGCGGCCGGGGAGCGTTTCACGAGCCTGAGGACCCCTTGTTGGCTGATGATGACCCCTGTGGGAGGATCGACAATCTACGCGCGACGACGGTGGAAATCATGGGAAATTCAATTCATGGAGAGCCACGCGTTGCAAGAGCCACTCGGCCGACGAACCTTCAAAAAGGAGCCTCAATCCAACGGCAGAGGCTGTTGACTGCGGCATCACGTCTGAGCTCTCATTTTCAGGCTTGGGTCAGTCACTCATTTTTCTGTCATTCGTTCATCACAGTACTACTCTTCATACATCCATCATGCAGTCACTCGCTCTTTTCTTGGCCGGCGCTGGCGTCGCCAATGCGTACACCATTGCCGTCGCCGAACGGTTCATGTACAAGAATATTGATCCCATTGTCGTGCCTGGGAAATACACCAGCCATATGCATAGCTTTTTCGGGTCGGATGCCGTGACTGTCAATACGACTACCTCGAAGGAACTTCAGGCTGGCTGTTCCACAGCCGAGAACCCCAACGACTTTTCATCCTACTGTGAGCTTCAGTGTCACCTCCATTAGATCGTGTGACTGACTTTTCAGGGGTCCCTACCCTCTTCGTTCGTAATGAGTCCGGCGCTACACCCGTACCCTTCTCCCGCTTCAGCGCGTACTACGTGTCCATCGAGAACGCCGAAGTCGCCATTCCTCAGGACTACAAGGCGGTGGCTGGCAAGTCCTCTGCCACAAAACAGGCCGACGTTGAACCCCTGGCGGGCATTGAATGGTTCTGCGAGAACGGCCCAGCAAAGGCAGACGGCGCCGACAAGGCCGCCTTCCCCACCAAGACCTGCGGCACCCATCTCCAGACCCTACTCCTCTTCCACGACTGCGTCAATGAGAAGACGCTCGAGTCCACCTACTCGGGAACCCACAACTGGGTGTCCTGGGGTGTTCCCGCGAACCGCTGCCCTGTCGGTATGAAGCGTATGCCTCAGCTCCGGTTCAGCATCCGCTACGATCTGCGTCGCCTCCTGCCGAACGGCTGGACCGGCGCGCCACCTCTGGAGCTGGCGTGCGGCTCGTCATACTGCACACACGGTGACTTCATCAATGGATGGCTGCCTGAGGCGGCTGAGAATATGCTCAAGTCCAACAGCAAGCGTGATTTCAAGGGCGTCGATGGGCCGAACGGCAAGTACAACGCCGGTTCCGTGTGCGGCGCAAAGAACGCCAAGGACGCAGACCCGAAGAACGGCACGAGCGACTACGAAAAGAGCCGTAAGATCCTCGGGCTGCGCAGCGTGACGCAGGCTGTGAGGAACTTGGCTCGTCGCCGCAAGACTCGTCGTGGTGTTACTGGATATTGAACTTTGGGTGCTCCGTAGCTCATCTGCCTCAATGCGGCACAGAGAGCATGATCGATCATTTGAGATCTGCTTCAGTTCCGATAGTTTCCGCCCTTATTCTTGTAAATTTATTGACTCGATCATCTTGACTCCCAAAACAGCCAGGCATTCCTAGAGATTTCCTTCACCAGCTGAACCTTCCTGTGTATTTGCTTTGCACCCAGTCTTCTGACACCGACATCACCCGTCGGCTTTTCGTCATGACAGTTTCATCCAATAGCGGGCGGCGTTGCGGTCGTTATCACAAACATTTGCTGGCTCCAGAGGCTTGCCCTCGGTCCCGATGTCTCAATGCTTAATCGCCCAGCCCTTTTCGAAAGCTAGCGACGCCCATCCGCCGGCACTTCAGGATGGAGTCGCCACCGTTGACCAATCTCTTCAGCACTAGCTCCGGTACTTGGAGAATGTGCCTGTCTAATCCGACGACTGCTGGCTCTTGTCCGAATTGTAGATTGGCATCAACGAGGCGTTCAACGCATCATTGATTCCTCCTCACGTTGTCAGCCAAGCCTGTGTTGTGGTCACAGCTAACCTCCACTCCATTCCAGCAGAATATTGGGATGCTGACCCAAAGCACGTTCTGCAGCTTGTCGCGGGAGTCGACTCTGCAACAAGTTTCTTACTCTGTCGCGATTTGAACGCGTGCTATATGGGGCCAAGACTCACAATCATGCGCCCAGGACGCATGGAATTCATTGGATTCAGGCCTCTGAGGCATTCCGATGCAAGGCGTCGCTCTTATCCCGAAGATGAAGTGCGACAAAAAGAGGGGTTGGCTGCATTCTCTCCCCTGAGAATCGCGAGTGAGATCGCGCAGTGGGTGTCTTACTTCGGACTTGGCAGCAGCGCCAACGTGAGAAGCCGTTCGGATCCGAGACATTGAGGGGTGGCGGGGATATGGTCGCGATGGCATTGCTGATTCCGGAGCGGTAGCCATGGGACTTCTCGGACGATAGCCTGGTCACAAATAGAAATGGCCCTTCCAATATGGGTACTTACGGATGTCCAGATTTTGTATATATGTGCTCGTGGTCAACTGGCAAAATCCAGTCGATCCACATAGAGATGCCGATCACACGATTGTTGCAGAACACAATGCACACCTCAAAATTTACTCTGGCATTTGCTTCGGCAGTCCTTGCGGCACGCCCGTTTCTCAACGAAGCAGACAATGGCTTGTTAGATGCGTTTGGAAATTTGTCTCCGGGCATGCTTCCGGACCTCTCCTCCATTGCTGGCCTTCCAGACTTCGACTTTGCCGCACGCAACTACTTGCCTCCGAGAAACTACACTTATTACCGTAACGCTGCAGGGGGCGAATGGTCTTATCGAAACAATCTGGAGGTTTTCCAGCGATATACCTTCAAACCAAGAGTAATGCGAGACGTGTCTCGCCTGCAAGAGTCCCTTGCGTTCGTAACTTCAATCAAGTGGGATGGACCCTTCAGTGACTGATCTCCACTAGTACAACCATATTGGGTTACAATTTTTCAGCGCCCTTCTTCATCGCTCCATGCGCTAGAGGAGTCTTTGGTCATCCAGATGCCGAGCTCAACCTAGTTCGTGGAGCTGCAGATGAGGACATATTATACATCGTGGGTCAGACTGTTCTTAACTGAGTTCTCTCCTGCTTACATCTGGCTATAGCCATCATTGCAGGCAACAATGTCTATGGAAGACATTGCGGCTTCTAAAGATGATGGACAAGTACTCTTTCAACAGGTTGGTTTTCGAAATCATTCCTGTTTTACTAGTACACTAACAGCTACCAGCTTTACCTGCCCCCTGGCGAAGACAACACGAAGAAGCTACTCCGGAGAACAGAAGCAACGGGCGCCAAGGCCATCGTTTTCACCGTCGATGCACCTGCAAATGGAGACAGGCAACGAGCCTACCGTCAACGGGGACGTACACCGTGAGTCTACTTTATCTCAATAAAAGTCATCATGCTAATCGTAGCTGGAAGTGAACCTGAATTCCAAGCAATAACAGTACGACCAGAATCCATCTCTTCTCAATGGAATGGACGTGGCTAACATTACCAGTGGGAGTACTACCGCAAGATCAGAAACATGACTTCGCTGCCCATTGTCCTGAAGGGGATTATGAGTGTAGAAGATGCTCAGGCAGCGGTCAGCAACGGCGTTCGTGCAATCATTCTGTCTAATCACGGTGGAAGACAGCTCGATGGCAGCCCTTCGTCGCTAGAGGTTGCACTCGACATCCACAAAGTGGCACCCGAAATCTTTAAACAAATCGAAGTATACGCCGATGGCGGGGTGCGCTACGGTACTGATGTGCTCAAGCTTTTGGCACTCGGCGTCCGAGCTGTTGGCGTTGGGAGGCCATTCATGTACGCCAACTCCTATGGATATGACGGCGTCTTACAAGCCATCCAGATGTTGAAGCGTCAGATTTCGGTTGACGCGGCGAATCTGGGGGTGATAGACCTTAAGAAGCTAGATGCCAGCTTTGTGAGTTACTTATGTTTGAGTTTGACAATGTCACAAGCGCTCACAACGGTACACAGGTCAACTGGACACCAAACCATTGGATGGGCTAAGATATTTGCAAAAGTAATGTCATCAATCTGTCCTGCGATACCCTGGGTTAAGTATGTTTGATGAGCCTCTCTGTACCGAAGGCGATGTACATGAGCTGGGCCGTTTGTGTCCTGATAATGAACAGAAAAAATTATTGTATACCACGGGCGCATAAGCTTCCTCAAGGACTTTTACCGAAAAAATGGAATGAAAGGGTGGGCGGTGAAGCTCCCTGAATGCATGCGCGCGTGTACTTCGGTGTGTTGTCGGTACAGTTCGGTTCGGTGACACTGCATCGTAATAAGTCGAATCATGTTCGTTGAAATCATGTAATTTGCTTCAATTTCAAGTAAATGGGAGCGAAATCAAGGATCCAGGCAACCTTTTTGACATCTCAACAGACGCCGACTTTACAAAGGACCTGAAATTGTCTCGGGTGCCTTTCCGGGCGTGTATGGCGGCAAGCTCGGGTCCAAGACACCCTCTGGATCGTCCCCGCCAGCTGGGCATGTGTTGAAGAAGACCCAGCCCTAAAAAAGTGTATGGTCAGTTTTCAGCGCAATCTTTTAGTTACCCTAAAGTAAATGTTTACTCACATGAGCTGTGTTTGGGTTAATCTCAACCACGTCGGCACGTCCCTGCCCTGAAAGGCTTGGAAACTGAAGGTTAGGGCCCCGGCTTGTTCCCTTAAAAACGCTGGCAGGCCTCCCCCATTTCCATGCGCTACCTGCATTCGACTCTCCTGGAGCTGCCTTTCCTTCATTGTAAAACACATTTGTGTTACCAGTGAACCTGTCAGAGTGAATGATATCCGACAGTCCGTCACCATTGACATCGGCGAAACGAAAGTCGGCTCGCTCTAGATTCTTGGTGTAATTGATCTGCCCGATATCTGTAGCTCCGGTAGCAAGATTGAGCATAGCGTGCATGAGGCCGTTGTGTTGAATGCAAATGTAGTCCGCTCTGCCGTCGCCACTATTCGGGGAGTGTCAGTACTTTCCCTGCAAGGAAGGGGAGATGGTGGAGCCATGAACGCTATCGTACTTGATATCCGCAAAGTGGTGAGAAGTATCGTAGTATAGGACTCCCCAACCAAGGGTGCAAAACCCTTTGGTGTCTGAGTACTTTTTGGGATCCTGGAAGCTGACCTTTCCGGGCTCCGACGTGCTAAGCCAGACTGTCAGCTCTCCAGAGACACGATCGACCGCGATAATGTCGGCCTTTCCATCCCCGTTCCAATCAGCTATGTGCAGAGCACGCCGCGTTACTCCTGTCTTGATCAGTGTAGTGCTACCCCATGCGACACTCTTATACCAGTCAAAACTGTTTGCCCGAGCCTTGTTGGGGAAAATGGTGATCTCTCCGAAGGCGGATATCCAGATGTAGTCGTCGAAGCCGGTTCCCGTCACGTCACCCCACCGAGCTCCATCGCCTGCACAAATGTGAGTTGGAGTTCTTCTGGTGAAATGGACTCTAGGCTCTCTGACGCACCTTTTTGCCATCGGCCACCATTTCCACCATTCACATTTTCCCAAATAGAGACTGTGCCGTCGCAAGTGCCAGTAGAGTCACAGTTGGTTCGTCTGAACACCCCATACTGCGTTGAATTTGTCAAGACATTGTGTTCAAAAAGTTAGGAAGCTGGCTTACTGACGTCTCTGAATCCGTCTCGCTTGTTGAAAACACGCCCGAATTTGGCCCTCTCGCTACAATTTTCGGTAGCCGTCAGTATGGCCGTCCATCTACACGGTTTGCGCTGGTCATTTGGAGATGACAGACCATAACTTACCGAGTGTCGCCGATGGCCTCGCCAATGTCAGGATGGGTAACTCCTGCATCTTGCCAGTACGGTATCATGCCCTGCTTCTCGCCACGCTTGTTTATCCACGTCGTCGTTTGACCCTGCGTGGTGAGCCAGAGCCAATCGCCGCGGCCACTAGATATTTCGATCCATGGTCAGTTTGTGAAGTCTCAAAGAGAAGCCTGGGACAGTTGAAGTCCACAAACGGGACCACTTCATTACTCACTCGCCGTTTATGTCAACTCGAGGAAAAATTAGTACCAGGGCCAGAGTATTTCCGTGTTCTGCACTTACCGAAGCGCACACCGCGGATGTCTCCCGTGTCCTTCGCGCTGAAGACAGGGCCTCCGGAACCAAGATCCTGCCAGTAGGCAGCTTCATTGCCGAGGCCTCCGTTTCGATGGCACTTGATCTGTGTCAATAGTGATCCTTCTCAGGCATACGAGGTAATTAACAGCAAGCCATACATGAATATTGCCGCCGTCGCGGATGACGCAGTAGTCAAGCCTACCATCGCCGTCGATATCGCCGAGACGAACGCGATCTTGTGCATAGCCAGCAATGGAATCCCGCCACTTGAGTAAAGTGTCAGTAGGCATGTATAGAACATGACATGCTCATGGCATGCAATGTTCAGTGGCAGTCACAGGTGTCGAATTACCTTGAAGACCACCCCAAACGACGGCACAGTTTGTTGGCGGGTGGAGTTGTTGATGGCTACAAATGGGGTACCATCTGATGAAATACAAATGTAGTCATCCAAGCCATCTCCGTTCTGCTCGCGTTGTCAGTCGTCGATGATGCATGTTCTACGCTTTCGGCAACATGAGCCACGTACCACATCGCCAAAATGGATGCCTACCGTAGCAAGTGGTCAGCTAGTTTCTTATAGCTACTTTTCAAGACAGAAGCTTACCTCTGTTGACACAATGGTGGCCAACACTGGCCCTGACTCCGGCGTCAAACTTGCCATCTCCTCGGTTGATATGTATGTCGATCTTGTTAGTGTCGCGGTTGATAAGAACGAGCTCGTCCAGGACTTGTTCCCTCGGGAGACCAGAGTCGATCAAATGTGCCCAGTACATCTCCGTTTCATTCGAAACCTTGTTCTTCCAGACCACGCCGCGCTCTTGGGAGCTCTGCTTGTACACGCCATCGTCGCGGATGGTAGGGTCGCCAGCAAACAGGAGCTTCACCTCTGATCCGTGAGGGTGGTTCAACTCGCTGCCAGGCTCTTTCTTACACATTGTCTTTCCTTCATCGTCTGTGAATCCTGCGGCTTTCGGCGTGTTCAGCCAATTTAGTCCATTGACTTGATCGATGGCCCAGATCCAGACGGCAGCCATCTTGCGGAAGCCTCCACGATTCGGGTGGAGAGGATCGTGGAAATCTTCTGGGAATTTTAGGAAGTCATCTTGCATCTCGGCAAGAAAGACTTTAGCAATTGGCTTTTCCAGGTCGCTGCCTTGATAGCTTTTGACAAGCCGGCGGTACTGATCGTTGATCTGAACAACTCTGGATTGAAAGTCTCTGTGGTGGAGAAGCGTGGAGAGGATGACAGTAGCATCAGGAGTGATAGAGAAGATGGTGTCGATCATGGCCTTCATGCGCTCTCCTGCGCCGGCTACCATGTCTTGAGAGGCGTCATTCGTGCCCGCATTGATAAGGTATAGGTTTGGCTGCCAAACGGGAGCAGTCGTGCGGAGTCTGGTATGAATCTGGTCGATCCGCTCTCCAGGAATAGCTTCGACGTTCTGGCGTGTGTCAGCCAAATGTCTCAAAAAGGACTGAATAGGATTTCTCCGGCGGAGCAATTCAGCGGCATACGTTGTCGGCCATGGTGCCTCCAGAGAGGCTTCCGACCATGTTCACTTTCCATCCATCCCAACGCAGTTTATCGCGTACAGCCTTGCGGAACCCATTCTTGTCCGTGTCGCCGGGCTCAGCCGGGTCGCCTCGCACGATGGAGGCTCCTACAGGCATGATTCGAAGGAAGAAATCTCGAGCCTCGACACGTCCTGCAAGGTTGCCACTTCTCCTTGGAAGCAAACGTCGGTGATCCACGAGATCCTCATTCGGGATGTCAATATCGCGAGGAAGAGCAGTGGCTGGTTGTGTAAGGTTGACGATGAAAATCCCCAGCGTCAAGGCGCTCATGCCAATGTTGATGGGCTTCATGGCATCAAAAGCGTTCCCGACGTCGATCTGGGCAACGATCCAGGAAATTTTCAATTCAGACAGAGCGAGGCATGACCAGGACCGCGATCTTCATATCATATGGAAGAAGACACAGCATATTAGCTCGACACGTTGTCAGTGTTGTCAGGGTTGGCAGTGGCATCCGCTTAAGCGGATCTGCAAGATTAGCCAAGTCATGCGGGCATCACTCTGAGATCCTTCAAAAGCCTAGCCAGGGGTGTCGGTCTCAATATAGCTGAATGGCACTAGTCGACTGAGGTGGTCAAACTGTTTTCGGCCAAACCATTAGGTTTGTGGCGAGGAATCAAGCTCCGTTTCGCAGTGAAGGCCCAAATAAGGCTCTCAGCCCGGCGTTCGGTGGTCGAGGGCAACTCTGCCGGGAAGGGTTTTTTTTTTGGAGGCTCGGTCCAGGCATGGATCGGCCGTCGATCAACTAAGGTACTCGGTTGGCATCTTCCCGTAAGAGCAAAGAAAAGGCTTTCGGTGACACGTCCGCTCGAATGCCTGGTCTCTTCGTTGCCGCGGCTTCCCTGCTGTCGGGCCCTCAACGTGAACGACAAGGGAAAAGCCAAACGACTTTGCCGTTACCTCGGTTTTCATGGTACTTGCGAGCTTCAAAGAATCAAAGGCCAGTCGTTCCATCTTGGTGCCAACAAATAGTGCCGTCGGAACCCCTGCTGAAGGATTGGGCTCATTCCCGAGTAGCGGCAAAAGACTGGCGGCGCAGGATCGGTTGCTGCCACGACGGGTCCCATTCTGGGTTCTATAAATACACGTCGAGGGTTAGTAACATCTTCTCCAGCTTCTACTTCTGGCTCGGTGTCCACGCCCGTGAAGCGGTCACTCCTTTGCACCCCTTGCGCAGCCCGGCCCAGCCAGTTCTCTTGGTTCTTCTGCCCCACACCGTTTGCCCCCTCAAGCCCCTGAATCTGTCGAGGAGTGTGAGGCGTGGCTGTGGAGGTGATGCGCGGGTCAGATGTGGCTGACTCTCGCTTTCGATGATGTAATCAATGGCAAAACCTCGGCGGCGTCCGATTTTGCGGGCGGTCCCCCACCATCCATCCCCCCGGGATCGGCAGCGTGCCACAGCATAATGCACAAATGCTTGTGCGCCCAATGCCCAAAACCGTCAACGTCAGTCAAAATTTTGTGTACACCGACAGTGGGGAGCCCCTGCCGTCTGTTGTGAGTCAACCAAGCACGCTGGATCCATCGACCCATCCAATTCAGCGCAGCAACCTCCGGGAAACACCATCAACGTCAAAGATTCAGAACATCGTGATCATGGCGTCAGGTAGTCCCAACAACGTGCTGCCGGACCCGACGGCTGACCTGCACTGGGGCGCCTTTCGTGGAGGTGAGCTTGACAGGAACACCCCCCCCCCCCCCCCCCCCTTGGGGGGGGGGGAGGAGGGTTTTTTTTTTCCTTCAAAAAAAAAAA